ATAGACCATTACATCAGCATACATAATGAGTCTGGAACTTACTACAAATTTCTAGAATGTTCTGTTACCTATTCAACCAGTTTCTAAAAATTCCACCCAGACACAGTACGGTTCTAGAACATTCTTAGTCACACGGAAGTGGTAAACAAGTCGTATGCGACACCTAGCAACCGTTATAAAACCATGTGCAGTTTACTTTTTCCCCAGAGTGAAGATATAATACTAAAGCTATATATATTGAAATACATGGAATTGTTTAAATCAGCAAACATCAAATATGCTTGGTTACTAAGGAAAATATTTTGCCTAGCATCTGTTGCTATGTGTATACACTTACTCCAGTTTGAAGATCAAAGCTGCAGATATAAAAATACATTAAAATTGTTCGGAAAAATGGTCTACAGGTATCTTCATGTCGGTTGCTATGGGACATACATGTGTGCTAATTTTCATGCTTTTATCATCATCTGAGTAATTTTCGCACCCATCGCCTGGACTAATATATATATTTTCTTTTTCCAGAAATTTGTATAAATTAACACAGTTCAGCAAAATAAAACAGCGATTTATTTGGGTGATGGGTGAAAATAAATCCCTACTTGCAAACTTCCAAGAGCCGGTGCTTGGGACGTTATCATAGAAGATATTTACACACACTCCAATCACGCAAGACAGTGAGTACATCAAATTATGACGTTTCAAACACTTGGGAATATAAGATAAATCAAAAACCATCACTACTAAATAACTGACAAGTGGTTAGGGAGACTTTCTTTTCGTCGTATCTTCTCTTCGCTGTCTAGTGTCTCTTCAAATCTTTCTTTCTTTTGGCTTTACTTTGTCATTGTTATTCGAATCGGTTGCGTATAACCACATTCATGCCCTCATACGTGTTATGTGTGCACGTGAATCTGGTGAATGTACAAATTAAATCATCAACATATACAATTAGAAAATGCCATATGATATATTAAAATATTAAACTGTACGCATGAACAATTTCCGCTGTTGATAAATCCCTATGGTGCCCTGCATTATTTATTTTCCACATCAGACGTACTAAATGAGGTCAAGTGCCTATCGTCATGGTGGATTGGCAATTAATGATAGTCGGAATTAAAAAGTATTGAAATAACGGGGATAATTATTTCTGATCGTTCCAAAACACTCGAATTTCTGGTAATGGAAAATGAATAGACATGACTTTTGAATTTAATTCTTTAAGATGTCCAACGAATCTATATTTATTATTCGCTCTTTAACATGAATAATTTAACTACTCCAGACTATTTTCTAGTAAATCTGACACGTGTTCTTTCAACATTCTTTATAACTGTCATAAGTTGAGATTTTCGCCGTAGACCTATCTACGACATTATTAATATGTGAATTAAATTAATCATATCCAGTGACATTCCCTCTTCAACAAGTTTCTTAGAGTCGTTCGACAATTTTTTTTTTAATTTTACATTGAATGTCGTCTCTCGTAACTTGTTTGTGCTTGTGCTGACAAATATTGAATTTTTGGCACAGAAACCATATTCATGTTTGGGACTACATGACAGGGCTGTGTGGCCATCTCTCTATCAAATGACAATTGGTGTCAACCATGCTTAGTCAAACATAAGCACTTGCAGACCTCAAGCAAGGTTCCCCAAAGTAGCATTCTTTAGTGAATAAATCTTGGCCAGTGGAATTGGCCTTCCAATTGAGTCGATGGAACACTCATCCAGCGTAGAGGTCGACCCTCTTTTTGGTGTCCAGCTTGAACTTGGGTCTATCAATCATGACTTTGACATGACAACCACTATGCTACCAGTGACCGGTCGACTCGGATATTTTGGCAATAATCCCCGACAAAGCCTTAGTGAATGGCTTTATCATCCGAAATGATGACTCTCCCGGCTTCTAATAACTTCTAATTTTTGGTATACTAAGTTAGTTTTCAGTTAATTGCATTGCGTCAATTTTGTTTGGCTGATGTTGTAGCGATACGCGTATGGGACTAGAATCTTGTAATTCACTAGTAATCATAACTAATGTATTGGGCAACGTTCCAATAAATTTACTAATGAGAGATCCACTGTTTGCCACAATTGTTGAATTATATTAATCTTGTAATAGGCAACAAATTAATATTAGTTCTTATCTCTTCTTTAAACTTATCAAATCTTACTTCCATGTGGTGCATTGCATTTTCCCACCATGTGACCAGTATTTAGTCGTTATCAAAAAAGCTTATTAGAGATATGGGTATAAATCGGGAATAAAACTCGCTTGTAAGAGTTCATGGGATATTTGCACACACTGTAATCACGCAGGCAGTGAGTAAATCGAATTATGACGTTTCAAACATTTAGTAAGATAAGATTAATCAATCATCATTACTACTAAATAACAAAAAATGTGCTAGGGATCCCGTTCGTTATGTTTTCTCTTTGCTATCTCTACTACAAGTCACTTGCAAATCTCTTTTCTTTTTTGCTTCTGTCATCAAATCAGTTTCGCATTGCCAGATTCACGCCCTTGTACGTATTATGTGTGCACATGTATCCGGTGATAGTTCAGTTCAAATAGTGTGACAGAAAAAGGCTCTATATTCATATGTACATCCTTGATTGCAGCTAAAGTATGGAGGACATGACTACCGTTGGAGTAATAGTCCAATACATTTAACGCAGTGGCCCAGCCAGTGCCGGTGGCCGGGCACGAAATTTTGCATGGGGGGTCTGTCCAATATTGAAATCTAGACCCCCTAAAACGTTATTTCCAACATTTTTTTTCGAGTGCTGATATACCCGAGAGGGTGTCATTTGCGAGTAATTGTCTGACGCTGCAACCGTACCTCTATTAGCTATAAGGATGTCTTACAATAAAGTTACTGTCTGTACAGCATTAAACAAATCAGAGTGGTTGTGAATTTTGCGTGTTTATTGTACTAGATTGTCGTGGGCGACAACATCAGGTATAACGAAAGCAGAAAGTAGTATATGTATTTGTAATTTTAATCAATTTGTAATCAATTTCGTGTGGAAATAAGATCACCTGATTTGAAAAGAATTCCTTTCCAGTGTGTGTTTAGTCACGGTGACAACACTACAATCTTGACCAGTACTGTGGGTCATCGTCTATTAAACGCTTTATTGTAGATGAAGTGAAATATTTTAAATAAGTTATTAATTAAAATAAGTTAT